TTTTTGTTTAAATTGAAATCTTTGATAATTGGACGGCTTTCTGCAGAATGGGACCAACCCACACCATGATGAAACTGAGAAAAAAGCTATCAAAGATTTTAATAATTTTAAAATTACCTGCTAATTTTATGCCGATTTTGGACTTACGGAGGTTTAAGGGATATAATTTAATAATTTCATCAGGTGGATTTTGTGATGTTATGTGTAAGGGTGACGAAAAAAATGGGCTTTTGTTGGTTGGTTCCTTTCTGCAATTTATGAAAACTACTATCTGATGTATGTATGTATTTAAAGAAAAGCGACAATTATTTATTTCCAAACAAAATACAACTGATATTACTATTATAATGGTAATATGAATTAATTTTGATTCTATTTAAAATTCGTCCACATCATCTTCCAACCCCACCTCATCTTGTAAGCTACCAAAAAAATGCATCAAGACTTTATATTTTGCAGAAGCAGGAAATCTTTAAAGACTTTGGTGGTGGGTCTACCAGCCTGCTTTTTTACAAAAAAGATCCAACCCACTTGCAGATATTCTACAGATTCTAATTTTGGATTAGTAATCCACACTATTATTGAATGTTGGTTGGTTCAATGATTAATAGATTTCACTAAACTTGCATTTTGGCTATGACCTATTTTGCAGATAAATTATACATACTTAATTAGTTCATAGGCTAAATATCTCGATTTTTTTGGTTTTGTGGGTTGGTTCCTTTCTGCAGAAAGGCGTCCAATTACCCTTATGAATTGAGTTGGTTGATTAGTAGCCCAAGAGATAGTTCTTTTGCAATATTGGATTCAGAGCTGTTCCGAGTACAATAAAAAAGTATTCGAGTACTGAATACAAGTACTCTTATATAAAAGTACTCGAGTACCAAGTACAAGTACAGTACCGTTGTACTCGCGTACCCATACGAGTACAAAGTACCGAGTACACTTTAGTTATGAAATGTTGGGAAAAATGCTAGAGAAATGGGGCGATTAAGAAATGAATTTAGAATCACACTTTATTTCTACCAAAATATAAACAAAATTACATTTCATACATAAGTAAAAAACTTTTTATTTATTATTTATTTATTTATTTATTGAGGCTGTCTTAAGGCTGTCGTGTGAGGCAGACTGGCTGAGGCTGCCTCAGGCAGCATGTCCGTAATTTAAATTGACAAGTCAGTGTTGACAAATTTTCAACACCCACGCACATATTTGCACATATGTGTCCACGCCAACCTCACCGCATAAAAATGTACTCATTGCATATTTTGGATCTACTCGAGTACACGGGAAAGTACTCGAGTACACGGGAAAGTACTCGAGTACATTTTTGCAATCTTAAATGTATCAAGTACAAGTATAAGTACATTCAAATTAAAATACTCGGTACTGAGTACCGAGTACACTGAAAGTACTTGGAGTACAGTGTTTGAGTACTTGTACTCGAGTACCGCACAGCTCTGATTGGATTGCAGAATTTTATTTTTAAAGTTGGGAAAGGATGTCGTCGTCGGAAATATCTTTTTCAACATTTGATATGCTATCATTATTATGATTTCAGGAAATTAGCTTTTATTTATTTATTTATTTAAAGAAATTTTAGCATGTTAAACATTTCTAAATAGTGATTCATATGCATATAAATTTATGTTTATTTTATAGTATATCTATAAATAATTTGAAAGATAAGCTAAAGCATATTGTTATACAACACATGTATTTGCATAACAATTTAATTAAACAATTCAATAGTTTAATATAATAATAATATTGTTTAATAATATATTTAATTTTTTTTGTAACTAGGCAATTATTAATTTAAAATAAATTCAATACTAATTTTTATTTATCAATGTATTTTTTAATAAAAATTTATTGAGTCTGCAACAGGTTTTTCCAGAAGAATATATGTCATTATATATACCTATAGATATGTTTTTATCAAAGAAAATGACCTAAATTTATTCAGCAAATATCCTTTCACTACAATAAACATTTTTTATTATATCCAAATGAGTCAACATTAAACAACATTTAAATTGCTTTTGCTGACTGGGGAAAACCCTATTTAGTGCATGACTGGGCCAAATAATCCTTTAAAGAATGTACTGTACTAATAAGGTAGGTACCTACCTATTTAATTTAAAAATAAGAAATTTGGGTAATATTTTGCAATCAATTAAAACTTAAAACATAACAACTAAATAATTATTAATATGGTTTTATGTGTAACTTAGGGCTGTACAATTTAGCCGGTCAAGCTGTCTAAAAAGTTAGCTAAGTTATAACTGATCAGCTTAGATAATTTAACCGGTTAACTAAATTAGCTTAGCTAATTAGCTGACGTCTTAAGCGGTTAATCTATCTTAGCTCAGCTAACTAGCTAATGGCTAACTGGCTAAACAGCTAATAAATATTAATGTTTATTTATTATAAAAAAGACGTTAATAATGTCTATTATATAATTGTATATAAATATATATTTATATATATATATATACGTATATATGTTACGGCTAATGTGCAAACTTGGATCGTTTATAAACTAGCTGGATAGTTTATAAACTAGCCAAACTGTCAGCTATTTTAATTGAAAACATATTTTCAACTAAATTAGCGGCTAGTTTACAAAATAAGCAAGGATCTTGGCTAATTTACTTGAAATTATTAGGGAAACTAAAATAGCTGGATAGTTTGTATACTATCCAATTCAGTTTGGCTAATATGAAAACCAAAATTTCTAGTAACACAAAATAGCCAAGCTTTAGCTAGTTTGTAAACTAACCAACCAATTCTCTGGCTAATTTATTAAAAAATTTATTGCGAGGTTACGGCATTGTTTTTCGTTTTGTCGGCTTAACCGGATTTGTTTTGTGCATTTTAACGTTTTTAAAATGAATCATAGGCAAAATTTTAACGCTTCCTTGTTAGAAAACTCAATAACACAACCCTACCGACCCCACCCCATTGGCCCCCCCGCCGCATTGGCAAATGGTCAAAAATGAGAGAAAAAAACCCAAACCAACCCAAACTCAACAACACAACCCAACCGACCCCGCCCAATTGAGCAAAAAACCCAACTAAAATGGGCAATAGCCAGAGAATTAGTTGGTTAGTTTACAAACTAGCTAAAGCTTGGCTATTTTGTGTTACTAGAAATTTTGGTTTTCATATTAGCCAAATTGAATTGGATAGTATACAAACTATCCAGCTATTTTAGTTTCCCTAATAATTTCAAGTAAATTAGCCAAGATACTCGGATATTTTGTAAACTAGCCGCTAATTTAGTTGAAAATACATTTTCAATTAAAATAACTGACAGTTTGGCTAGTTTATAAACTATCCAGCTAGTTTATAAACTATCCAAGTTTGCACATTAGCCGTAACATATATAAATCTTATTATAATTGAAAAATAATATATGTACATATATTTAAAATAATAATCTCTACTAAATAATAATCAAATTGTTAACGAAAAAGCGGTTTTAATACATGGTTTAAATTACTCGCGCTTTTTAATTTGTTAATGTCGACGTTTATTCGTAAATTAGTTAAGTACCTAATTGCCTGTATGCTTTTAATGTGCTGGGTATTTTTCTTGTAGAATTGACATTTTCATATTTTACAAGTTTTATATGTCTCATACATTTAAAAACTAAAAATCAACGATTCAACTTACTGTTTTTAATATATTCGCTAAAACATGCATTTTAAGAGAATTAGTGGGTGAGTTTACAAACTAGCTAAAGCATTGGCTATTTTGTGTTACTAGAAATTTTTGTTTTTATATTACCCAATCAGTTTGTCCAAACTGAATTGGATAGTATACAAACTAGTTATCCAGGTATTTTAGTTTCCCTAATTATTTCAATTAAATTAGCCAAGATCCTTGGTTATTTTGTAAACTAGCCGACAGTTTGGCTAATTTATAAATTATCCAGCTAGTTTATATACTATCTATGTTTACACATTAGCCTTAACATATATAATATTCAATTGAATCGTTGAAATTTAGTTTTTAAATGTCTGAGAAATATAAAAATTTTGTAAAATGTGAAAATGTTAATTCTACAAGAAAAATACCCAGCGCATAAAAAGCATACATGGAACTAATTTACGAATAAACGTCGACATTAACAAATTAAAAAGCGCGAGTAATTTAAATCATGTATTAAAACCGCTTTTTCGTTAACAATTTGATTATTATTTAGTAGAGATTATTATTTACATATATGTATGTATATTATTTTTCAAAGGCTATTATTTATATATAGATACATTATAATAAGATTTATATATACTATTATATAATAGACATTATTAGGTACCATCTTTTTTTTATAATAAAAAAAACATTAATATATTTTTTTTAATATGTCTGTGAATAATAAATCATTAAATACCTTTAACAAATTAGCTGTTTAGCCTGTTAGCCATTGCCTAATTAGCTGAGCTAAGCTAGATTAACCAGTTAAGCTGCCAGCTGATTAGCTAAGCTAATTTAGTTAACCAATTAAGGGCCGGTTTATCAATCTTTAGTTAAGTTCCAGTTAGTCTATCTGACAGTTAAATTCCATATCAATTGTTGTAAGAACAATGGTAACCATAGAAATTATCTACTAGATAACCAACTGCAACTTTAACTGGACAATTGATAAACCGGCCCTAAATTATCTAAGCTGATCAGTTAGCTAGCTAATTAATGGTGGAATTATGTAGCACAAATTAATTAACAATAAGTTAACATTAACATTAAAAGGTTAAGATGAATGTAATACAATGAAAGCATTTATGCAAAATATTAACATTAAGCATAAATACCCTCCTATTGGTTAAATTAATCTTAACCAGATTAAGATTCTTAATGTTAATGTTAATTTGTGCTGCATAATTCCACCATAACTTGGCTAACTTTTTTAGCCAGCTAAATTGTACAGCCTATAACTAAATAAAAAGTATAAATAATTAATTTCAATAAACATAACAAATACACACCTGTTGTAAAGCTGATTGTGTATACTCAGGCATGTTTAGTGCAATAACATTGTCACTCAGCTCTAATCCCATGTAATTTCCCAGAGAGGGGTACATCATGGGTGCACTGGCACTTGCAGGGGGTGCAGAATATTGCTGCTGTTGCTGATTTATTAGAGCATATTCAGCTCTGGCCATTTTATCCACCTTCATGTCCTCCAAACTCGGATAAAGAGACATTGTGATAGGTATCTAAAAATATACAAATAGTGTAAATATTGATTACTAAAAATGGTCAGCTTACTTTTATTAACAACGCCCAGTGAAAATGCAAAACTTCCTTGTATTTTGATTAACTGTAGTATGAGTCACAACGAATGTAACTTGCAGTCGCTGAAAGTGGTTGATCCCAGATAAGAAGGAATTTTATTTGGTTTTGTTGATATGTGACACCTACGACATTCGACTCATGCGCAAAACTCGGCAATTTGAATTTCGCGCGTTACAATTGACAGCTGTCAAAATTGGAATCTTTATAAAAAATGACCACACTGATAGTTTTTTAAACGAAAATATATTATTAAATTGTTAAAATCAAGATTTGGAATCAGGGTGGAGTAAATTTTTATTTGTTTTGTATGTTTTAAAACGTTAATATATTTTTTTGTAAAGCCTGATTTATAGATTGCGTTCCTTCCTCCCGTAAAAGGAACAATACGAAATCCGTAGTGCTGATTATAGATTCCCGTACCTACTCTATAAACAGCACTACGGTTTTCGTATTGTTAATCTTTGCAAAATTTAATGTTATTTGTTTGATTAATGTGTGGGAACTTTATCTGTGGTGTAAAGTGTTGCTGAGTCAGCAATGCTGACACGTACAATTTTAGCAACTTCTGGGATTTATATAAAAAAAATTCAAAAAGATGAGAAAATGTCTTATATTATTAAACATATCAAAAACCGTTGTGCTGTTTATATTATTTATCTTTTACGGGAGGAAGGAAGGAAGGCATTCTATAAATCAGTGTGATTTTTTCCGCTACATTTGGCAAGAGTGCTTGCATGTTTTTAGATTGATTAGTACGTAAACAGAATCGTCCCATTGTTTTTTTAAAGCATTAGAAGAAAACGATGAGGCTGTAAGATGATGGGTGATCAGTTTCGTAAAGTAGAGCAATATTCGCCGAAATCGTCGCCTAGGGGGGGCCGTTCCCCCGTCGTATCCAGACAAGATTCATCAGGAACATTAAAAACGACCATTTTATTGGGAAAGAACCCTTCCATTGTCCCCAGTGGACCTTTTTATTTGATGAAAGAACCACCTGGTAAATGCTTCATTGCTTTAAAATAGGCTTAATTAAAACTCTTCTTTTAGGGGAGTCCGAATTAACAGGTGCAACAAACTTGATGGCCTATTATGGCCTTGAACATTCCTACAGCAAATTTAGTGGCAAAAAATTAAAAGAACAACTGTCCTCTTTCTTACCAACCTTACCAGGGGTTATAGACTCTCCAGGGCAACAGGATAACAGCTCTTTAAGATCAGTAATTGAAAAACCACCCATAGGTGGTAAAGATTTACTGCCTTTAACCAGCATACAGCTGGATGGTTTCAGACTACATCCAGGACCGGTAAGTTCACTTATAAACAATTTACCCCACTTTCACAATTTGTTCCTCATATATTTTAGTTGCCAGAACAGTACAGATACACAAATTCAACTCCAATAAAAAATAAACACAAAAACAAACACAAAAAACACAAACACAAGGAGGGTGGAGTGCCAAATCAAGAAACAACAATTGCAGACACTAGTGGTGATACACATGAAAAGAAGCACAAAAAGCAAAAAAGACATGACGAGGATAAGGAACGTAAAAAGAGGAAAAAGGAGAAAAAACGGAAGAAGCAAAAACACAGTCCTGAACACAGTGGTGGCTTGACACCCAGTCAGCATACAAGCAGTTAAATATATAAAGATTTTATTTAAGTCAAATATACTTTTATTGGGCTTTTTAAGGATCTGTTTTATGTATGAGTACCTATTTATCATTTAATTATTATTATTATTTAATAAACAGATTGTTATTTTAATCTCTGTTGTTTCTGATTCATGAAGGGTAGGAAGGGAAAGAAAATTTAACAACTATAAAAATTGGTTTATTTTTTAATTTTATTTATACACTTGTTTACATGAAATGATGCAATTTCATATAAAACTGAATTTGGTCTTACATTATTACACATTAAAGCTCCTTGGTAAGATTTTATTAGAGACATATCTTCTTCAACTGGTTCCAAATATAGATCTATTGAACTCAACAACTAAAAAAAGTACGTTAAATTTAATTCTTGATATTAATTTTTTTAAAACCTTTTCCCTGGTAACATTAAATATTTGTACTACTCCCATATACTCGGACCATAAAGTTTTCTTGTATTGCCTTAAATGTTTTTGAGCCAGTGGTACCAATATTACATTACCAAATAGCAGATCGCCATAACTCACACCTTGATATTGCTCTAAAAGATGTGTGTAAAAATCATGGAAATTAGTCAGACCTGGAAATGTTGAAAAATTTCGGTTATTGTCTTTTTAAATGATAATTATCTAAATTACTATCAGAACAACTACAAATTAAAATCTTTTGAGATGGTTAAAGACCTTGGTGTTATTTTGGATAGCAAACAGCAAATTCACAATGTTTTTTATCAAAATGGTTGTGGTTGCAGTACATGGTTATGGAGGCAAACATGATGTTGGGTTTTATACTGTGTACTACTGTTGATTTTAGGGAATGTAGGTCATTGTTGATTCTGTATGCATCCACGGTTCTAAACTTGAATACTCGCGTATAATATACGTATACTCACATGTGTGGATTGTGCGTATACTTAAATTAAGTAACTTAATATATATATTATCAGGGGCGGCTAGTGTATAAGGGCTGCAGAGCTGCAGAACTTCCAAAATTTTCTTATTACATACTTGACTATTTTTTTAATTATTTAATATTTAAGTGCGACAGTGTACCTATAAATATTTCAAACGCAAGGCTGCATAAAAAGTTTTTATTATAAACATTTGCCGTGTCGCCGTACTTGGCCACTACAGTCATCCAAACGACCGGTAAAGGTCTCTAACGCTTAACGCTTACAATACAACAAAGCTGGCCAGCTTTGTTGTATTGTAAGGCAACAATTTAAGTATTTGTTACGTATATGGGACTATTGAAGAAACTTCAAAGTGTTTTGCGACAGTCGCCGGTCTCTTTATATTACTCTTTCATTACTACGTTACGACTAAAGTGGGGAACAATTATTGAGTTCCAAAAAGGTAGCAAATATGTCACTAGCTACCAACCCTGCTACTATTCGGGACGTAGCTGCTACGTTACTAGAACGTTCCAATATCGTTGCTAGAGCGTTATAATTACTTTTATTATTTGTTTTTACTTCTATATTAACTGTCTTTGTCAAACTTATATTAGATTATACTATCCCTCCTTTTTTAAATGGAACCACTACGGACTTGGCTTTTCAATGTCGTCGTTTATTAAATATGTACTGGTAGTTTATAACTTCCAGAATAACAATATAATGTTTAATTAGACAGGTAGATTTATAAACCCTTTAAATTTTACTGTTGAACTTATGAATTTAGTTTTTGTAAAATAAATGCGCTTCATCAATATTTTAGTATAAACAAATTATTTATTTAGTAATGTTTATAAATAAAAAAATCTTAATATTTATTATTATTTTTTTATTTAATTATTAATACCGTCTATTAGCAACAATATTTCTATTTATTAAAAAGTAAACAACCATTTACAAACAATTAAAATAATTTATTATTTACATTACCACGTGGTACTGTACAGTAAAAAATGGCCGATAAGAAGCATTTTCCTTTGAAGTAGTTTTCGCTACTTTAAAGTTTTTTCCACTTTACGGTTGTTTTGGTTAGTACCATAAACGTTCCAAATACTAAAATAATAACTTTTAAGTTATTAACTTTGTAGTTTTTAACTCATGTTCCAGTTTCGAGATTTTAACTTGCAAAGGGACTACAAAGTAAAAATAATTATAATGTAATCTTTAGGTAGCAACCGAAAGTAACTGCTACAAATTAAATTTACTTGAAAGTTTTTTTTACTTATAACATCTTTTTTAAAGTTGCAAAGTCTTCTTGGGGGCAACCAAGTTTTACTTAAATGTTTATTACTTTATAGTAACAATTTAAGGAAAAATTAAGTTTCTGTTACAAAATATTGCTATTTAAAAGTTAGAATTACTTTTAAGTAAAAATTAAAGTAGCTGTTTAGTATACTTAACTAATTTAAAGTTATCACCACTTTGGCAATGGTTTTTGGAACCAAAAATGCTGCTTGGGGGGCCACTTTCGAGTTCTGGTTCCCATTTCAATACCGTAATTTTGCCCCGCGCCGCTCTTGGCCCTGGGTTAAGATAGTGAAATTTAAGCCAAATCGGAGCTGCACCAACATACAGTTCCTACTTCCCGGTCGTTTGTTTTTCGCTTCGCGTTCACGTTTGTTATTTTAACTAGAAGACTGTTAATTCTGTGTATTTTTGTGTTTTGTGTTTGTTGTTGTATTCTTTTGTAAGAATGAATGTGGTGTATGATTTAATTATGATTTAATTAATTATCTGTAGGTACCATTTAATTAAATGCCAACTGCGCCACATTTTTTTAAACCCCACTGGCAGAACTCACAAATTTTACTGCCACGAGCCGCCACTGTATATTATATCCTATATATTTGGTGACACCTTGTATACCAACGTACAAAATAAACAAAATAAAATTTGCTACCATTACAAAAAAAAAGGGATAAGAAATAACCTTCTTGTGCTATATAATTTGTTTTATTGCGGAAGGAGATACTTTTTTGTTATTAAAAAAAGATTGGTTTCTGCAGTAAATAAATGTTAAGGTACAAGAAAGATCCTTTCTGCCCCTACAATATTGTTTATTGCTGTAAAAAAGAAGCTTTTCACTATAAAAAAATATATTTTATCCATGGTAGAAATAATATTTTTAGCAGCACATGTCTCTACAGAGACAGCTACGTATTTTTGTTGTCATTAAAAAACATTTCTGGCATAGCAGAAATTTGTTGTTGCCTTAGTAAAAGATTTTATAGTTATTTATTGGTTACTTTATAACCACACAAAGTTTCTTTTTAGGCATAGAAAAATTACTTTGTAGCTCAACAGAATTATTCTTTGCAAAGTAGTTTGATTACCACAGGAAAGTCTGTTCAGCAAAGTGCGTTATCCTAATATAGGTAGTAAAGTGTTTGGCTGTCCCCTATTTAAGCAAATGATTTAGCTATGGTTGCTAAAATTTTAGTAAGGAACATAAAGAGATTTTCTCAGTGTAGACCTATTCGGTGCCAACTGCGTAAGTCCCTTGCTTTCTCCAGTTAGCTAATGTTTATTTCTGGTATTCCTAGCACGTTTTTATAGATTTTTAGTAATTAAATGGAAATAATATGAGTTTCTAAGTTGTTTATTAATTCTGTTGATGTATCCTCCCACTGGGAAAGAAACCTTACAAAATATTGCTGCAATGTTCGCCGACTTTACAAATAAAATATTTCCTGTGCTACTTGCATTAACATAAATGAAATGTTACATTTGAAATATTGCATATAATAATTTCCAACAACCTTAAATTTGAAACATTATTTAAAGATTCACATGGAAAGTTTTTACAATGTTATATTTGTAACATTTAGTATAAAATGTTCCATAAAAGTTTTTAAACATTACAATTATAATATTGCAGACATAACTTTTTTCAATGTTTCAATTAAAAGATTAACACAAGTTTCAAATGAAAAATGTTTGCAACTTTACAATAGAAACATTTATTTTGGAATTTTTTTTTTGAAACATTGCAATTATAATATTACATTGATAAGTTTTGGGCAATGTTTCATCCGAAATAATACAGTAAGATGATTTTTGCAATGTTGCTTTATATAAACTTCGGAGGGGACTTTAAGCCGTCGGTCCGTTCCTACCCCTAACCCGCACAAGCCATTCAGTTGGCTTATGGGACATCTTAGTTTGGATGTAAGGGTGGAACTAAAAGAGCACTTTATAACTTTTATTTAAGTTGCAAGATTTTTGAAACATTGCAATTATAATATTACATTGATAAGTTTTGGGCAATGTTTCATCCTAAATATTACATTAAGATGATTTTTGAAATGTTGCTTTATATAAACAATATAAACATTTAATTTGCAAGATTTTTGGAACATTGTAACTATAATATTACATTTATAATTATAACTTTAGTTTTGGACTGTTTCATTTGAAATATTGCATTAAGATAATTTTTGCAATGTTGTTTGCAGACTGACTTGCCGATGCATCTCGCCGCTGTCTTGGTCATTTATATCTTTATAAGTGAACAGTCCGAGCTTGATGCGTGTCTCCCGTCACGGACTGCCTGACACTGATGAGACCAAAGTTTGGTCACCAAACAGGTCGAAACAGTCTGTCTGTCAGTGTTGGTGGGTAATTTGTTGCATAATATCTTTATAAGTGAACAGTCCGAGCTTGATGCGTGTCTCCCGTCACGGACTGCCTGACACTGATGAGACCAAAGTTTGGTCACCAAACAGGTCGAAACAGTCTGTCTGTCAGTGTTGGTGGGTAATTTGTTGCAAAAGGGTTGGCACCCACTGGGTGCCAACCCTTTTGCAACAAATTTCCCTCAAAAATGTTCAAAAATTCCCTTTTTTCCCACGCTTTTTGAAATATGCTGTTACCCGTTTTTTTTTTTAAATAAAACAGATATTATTTTGAAAAAAAATAGCATTTTAAAAATTTAGCAACAGTATTTATTAGTAAACCTATAAAAAAACAACGTGTATAAATACAAAAATATATGTAAAATAAAATTATAAAACAATTTGCCATATTGATAAAAAAGGATATATCCTTATGCTTATATTTGTAAAATATGAAGGAAATCCTATTAATGATTTTATGTATATAAAAGCTGAAGGATTTCGTTCATATTTTGCAAGTATAAGCATATCCTTTCTTTTATAAATACGGCCTATTGTTTTGATCTTTAAAAGAATACATATTTTTATTATGTAAATCGAAATAAAGTTTTGTTGCATTAAAAGTTATATATATTTTTTGTATAAAATACGAAAAAAAGTCATAAAATCCGAATTATTTGATTAGAAAAAGTAGGAAAGGGTTAATTATAAATTTTCATTTTGAATTGATATAAATTTCCCTCATGGACGGCCTTTTTTAAAAATATTTCCCTTTTTCCCATTTGTCTCAATTTGAGGTAAAATTTCCCTCAAAATGGGAAATTTCCCAAGAGTTGACATTAGTCATTGGACCATACCATTCGGGAGACGCGCTTCGAGCTCGGCTCGGTGGCGAGATGGGAAGGCATTTCAGTCTTTGCAATATATATATATATATATATATATATATATAATAGGCCTATAGCTTACAGATAAATAATTATAATTAATTATTATTATAATAATTCATATTAATTTAATTGCAATATTCCTGTAATGTTGCAGGAACCTTCATTAACAAAAATAACATTGCAATTAATACATTTAAGCAACATTTTATTTGTAAATGTAATGTTCCTGAGCCGGACATAAGGCTTTGTTGCAATGTTCCTGCAACATTGCCACAAGGATTTTTGTAACATTACATCCAACAATATTGATGCAACCTTTTTTTATAAAGTGATAAACAGCTTTACTCTAGACCCTGAAATATTGTCTTGTTTTTTTATCCATGCTCCTTGTTAAGACTTAAGAAATCACCCCTTATTACAAGTTTCAAATTTTTTATTGCCATACAAAAAAAACTTTTGGTCATTCTGAAACATGTATTTTGTAAATATTTTTTAAGATTTTCTTTATTTAAAAAACAAATTATATTTCCCAACATTTTTGTTCATATGAAATTATTAATAAATTATTAATTATAATTAAATTAGAAGGTAGAAAAATAAAAAAAAACCTGTGGATTTCAAGTTTCTTTAGAATACAAAAAGATAATTAATTATATTTTTGTATTCTAAAGAAACTTGAAATCCACAGGATTTTTTCTTTATTTTTCTTCCTTCTAATTTAATTATAATTATACCTATTAGTTTTTATAATAATTTTTTTTTGCATCCCCAGAAACAATATTTTTTACCTTGTATATCCTTGGTGAAATTAAGTTCCCTTTCAAATTTCATAACATTCTTAAAACACAACTCCAATAACTCGTGAATTTCCGGACTTAAAAATAAACCATCGCTGCCCAAAAATACACAGGCAAGTCTGCAAAATCTGTCGGTACAATTGATGGAGGCGGCCAAAGTTGAAAAGTAAGTTTCGTAGATTAAAATCCATCTCAAGCAATTTTTAATTGTGTAAATTTGGTGAGCTTCTTGTATACTGTGTTTATGTTGCTGTTGATGGGTGTAAAGAACTAGAATGGGAGTGTATATCCAGTCTATTGGTATTACATTTCCTATACTTATGTCTACAGATAGTTGAGTTGAAAAGTCAACAACATTCTACAAAAATACAGTCAACTTGTGCAAAAAACTAATTTTTACTTGCTTACATTTTTCAGACCTAAAACTTTTGTATACACATCCAAAATTTCTCCCAAATTACCCAAGGAAACTTCCAATGTGCTGGATCTTTGCGAAATCTCTAAATTTTCCATTAAAATATCACTTGGGTAAAATTTGGGGCCAAATATGATATTCTTTAAAATAAATTCAATGTCGCTTTTTTGCTCAGAATTAAAAGTACAAAGGCTTTTTACAGCTAGTTCATAATAAATAGAGGTATCAATATCTTTTTGTAAATCAACAGATATTTTTAATAAACTCATTACTAGAAAGCTTTCTGTTCTGGTAAACCAATTGCCTGTTAAATAAAATTGCTCCAATTTCTTCAGGGATTGTATATAATTGTTGATACTTTGATGTCTTAATAATTTTAGCTTAAGCTAAAAGAGTTTTGTAATAAATTAGATAATAATTAATGTTAATATTAAACAACCTTATTGTCTGAACAAATTTCAATGTATTTAGTTAAATTGTACATAAATGGTATACAACTTTTTGTCAAAATGACTGGCACCACATGTTCTGCATTATCCCAAGCAGCACCTTCAATATTTTTCAAATTACTGCTGGATTTATAAGTTTCAAAATTATTTAATAACATGGAACCATTCTGTATAAAGTGAGTCACATGTTTAAAACCATTTGAGGCAATCATACTCTTTACAATTTCATCTGATTGGGTATAATATGGATTTAAACCTGGTTGTGTTTGTCTAATACCTGCTAAACAGTTAAAAAGGGAAGAAATAATCTGTAGTTTCCCACACTAAAAAATATACAACAAAATCATGAAATCCTACGTTAGATAGGTACCTAACTCACAAAGAAATCGTTTAACTGTTCAAATTGTTTTCCCCATTTGGTAAGACAACTTTCAAATACTAAAGGAATAAAAGGTTGTATCAATGCAAATTTTCTTTGGGACACATTACCAAGTAAAATCAACAAAGCTGCGACATGACCATTTCTTACAAATGTAGTTGTATTGTCTAAATGTGTATTTTTTACATGGTAATCTAACATCCTCAAAAATACCGGCTGCAGAACACTACAAAATTTTCAATTTAGAACCACATAAGTGTGCAAAACCTTCCAAAAAGTACCTAAAATAGTCAAGTGCCAAGTGATATTTAATAAGAATGCTCCAAAAATGCATGCACTCAATTTGTAGTCTCAAACCATTTACGTTTGCTGAATAATTATCGCTTGATAGGTATAAAATAATCGAATCCATTACTTTATGCTTATTTACCAATGTTTCTGCATAAAATTTATTCCTACAAGAAACTACTCTCAGAAATTTTACAGCCTGAACAAGTGGATATCCATAGCAAGAATTGCTTGTATCTAAAAATTGTGAAAATTTAATAAGTGTAGGTAAATTAAATATTAAACATACTTACTGGTTTTATTAACTTTTGGTAGAAAATTTGAAATAATGCTTTCTAAGAGACCGTCACATGTAAAAATTCTATTTAAAATCATCTGTGAATCCCTGGCAAGCCTGGTCAATATTTCCAAACAGTATAGAACACTTTCCAGGGCAGGTTGTACTGTGTTGAGAATGTATCTATAAATGTATTTAGTATATTTTTTAAAGATTTTTGAAAATAAGGTAGGTACCTGATTCTAGTCAAAATATCAGTTCTTGCCAAGCACTTAATTATATTAGTTTCGGCCAATTGTTGATCATTTACAGTGTTGTCATCTTCAAGAGCGTTATCTATAGCGAGAATAGGCTGTACATGTCCCACTCCAAAACCTAACAAACCATCCAAACAACTCTCGTCTATTTGATGGTAAATCAGATTTCTCAGTGCTTTGATACTTCCATTCAAAACAGATGGTGTGTTTTCATCCAAACAAATTCTCAGCACAAAAAACACTTGCTCTATGGGTATGTCTATTATATTGTTGTAAATACCTGTCGATTGCAGGGACAGTATGTTTGCTATGGTGTTTAAAGCAACTACTTTTTGTTGGATTACACTTGATCTACAAAAAATTAATATTAGACGGAAATCCTTGATCATTTCATTTTCAATTGATATTTTTAAACTTTACGTTTTTAACAGTATAATCTTTCCTGTTAAAGATATCTACTAGTTTAAAATGACACTTTAAAGATAGATTCTATAAAAAACTTAATAAAAATAATTCGTAACCCTGAAAAATAACGCAGCACTGAAAATATGTTTATTTTACCGATTTTGTAATTATATAATATAATATAATGATCCTATTTAGCCTGCTGTTTATAAGAAAGTAGGCATATTTGTGGGGCAAAAAATAAATATCTGAAATTAACAGAATACCATGTATCCAAAACTAAGATCGTAACTTAAACTGCAAGATTAATGTTTGTATTGTTATTCTTCTTGAATGTAGAGACAGTTAAAGAGGAACCAAAATATTAGCAATTAGTTTCAAATAGCACTGCAACAATTTTTTTATTTTTTTTTGATGATTTCATTGGAAATTACTCAAATACAATAGAATAGACTAATTTACCTACCTTGATAGCTGGAATAGTTCTTGAAAGGTATAACCAGGTCTCCCTGATTCTTCTCCATGATGGTATAAAATTCTGCTTTCTTCATTTATTTCCGGTTCAGCATATGGCAATAGCCCCCCTTCAAAATCAAACCTAAAATTAATTTGATTTTAATATAAAATACCTTATTCTTTCGTCCAATTCTAACCTGGCTTCAAACTGTTCATGCTTTTCAATTTTAGGCACTAGCACATTTTTCATCCATGCCAACTTATTGGATTCAACAACATCAAAATTCAACCATTTGTCTGATTTTGGCTGCTTTAAAAGTTCTACAGTAGTTTCAATTTCTTCCAAATCCAATTCTTTGGCAGCCTCATTTTGTTCTTTAATTGTTAGATTTCTGTTTTCCACTTCCTCCTTAGTTCTTCTTGATTTCAAGTAACTTACAATAGCGGGGTCCATTGTCTCTATTAGTTTGTTTCTTTCCTCTAATATTTCTTGTTCAGACATATTCTTTAATAGATTCAAATTGCCATTGTGTATCTGCATACTATCAGCCCCTTGTAATATGTAACTTTGTTCTGGTAGTTTTATAACAGATTTTTCAATAAAATTGTCTTGAACTGCACTAGATGTCCCAGCTGGGACCAAGTCAACCTCCATTGGAGACTCATTTTTCTTAATTTTTTTAATATTTTGTGCAAATATACTGCCATTTGAAGCTGTAACTTTTAGCTAAAATATTTAATTAATTATCTAATAATGGATTTAAATTGCAACTTACGTCTCTTCTTTTAGCCTCTGGAAATCCTCTACTTCTATTAAACTTAAACACAGAAGGTTTACAACTTTCAATTGAATCACTTGGTTTTTCAACAACATTTCCTAAATTTATGGTACTCGGAATTGCTTCAAAAGTATTTGCCAATTGTTCTTGTATATCATTTTCAACAACATCTTCTAAAAGTTAAATATTATGAAACAAATCATATAGAATAGCTTATTTTAAAACATACTTTTCTCACTAACTACAGTTGCAGCAGATTTAACACCATTTGCGGCTTTATTCTCGAAATACTCTTTTTGCAATCGAAGTAAATCTTCTTCTGTCTCGCCAACTTTTGGCCGGGAATACCTTTCTGCCATTTTCACCTGTGGATTCTCAGAAACATCAGAAAAAATAGTTTTAACAAAACATAACCTTTAAAAATGTTGACAATTGTGTGCAGTGTTGCCAGTAGTAGAAAAATTAAAGTACTGAAATGGCAATAAAAAACGCTGTTGCTAGTACACCGCGCGCGGTGTACTATTCTACACCGTCAATTACGTCATAACTATAATCCGTTTTTGTTCCCCGAGCGTTTAATATTTGACAATACGTCACCTGAGTATTGGTTTGTGCTATCTCCATTTTTAACCATTTTGAGGTTTATGCATTTTCGGAAAGTTGAAGTTGGTTTGTTCCATCTCCATAATAGTATTTTGATATAATTGTGTCAGTTTTTAGTTTAGGTTAGTCTAAATCCGAGTTTAGTATAAAAGGTTTAAAATTGGTTTACTCTATCTCCAAAATTTCGCTTACAGGCTTTCTTTTGCTCTATGTGTTTGTAAAAATCTGAAAATAATTAGTATTTGTTTGTGCTATATCCATATGGAAAAAATATTGTATAACTGTTTTGTGCTATCTTCAAGGAAAGCTTCCTTATAAATATAAAATTGTTTTGTTCTATATCCACTTTAGCCAGTACACGTTTTTTTCACCTATTTACATGTATATGACAATAATTATAATTATTATTATTAAAGTAAATCATTATTAAATAAAGTGTTTTTAATTCAGTTTTGTTACATGTCCTAAAACTTTGTTATATGTCCACCATTTTGTTTCTAAAATCCAAAAATAGCACTTTTTGTTTTATCTCCAAAACGTTTTTTTCAATATTGAGGCATAAATCCAAATTTGAGATAAGAGTTGCTTAATAGAACTAATTAAAGGCTAAACAAGAATATTGTTATTAATTTTTAATTAAGTTTTCATTAAAAAACAAATAAGATATTTAATGTAAAAGTTTCAAACCCGTTTATCTCAATTATAACATATTGGACATAGAACACATCAATACTCAGGTGACGAATAAGCTAGATGGCTCAGATGGTAGGGCGGGCGCTTCGCATGCAAGAGGTCCCGGCATGGAGCCTACACAGGGAGTCCGAACTGCATGTAAACAAGAATCTTCCTAAGGAAAGTAGGCGCTGGTGTCCCGTTTATTCTAAAACAATTGACTAATTTGTACCGAAACGCTACCAAAAGAGCAGACGTCAAGACGCATCAACAATCAGCGCCACTGGTGGTGAAAAAAAAAGACTTAATTTGTGCAATTTAGAGGGCAGGTCATAGAGTCTTGTCTCTGGGGCAGGTTTTGTCAATTTTCCCTATTAACACGTTAAACGCCACGGCGTTATTGGTGATTTTGTTTATTGGGCCAAGTTGATATTTTACTTGTATCATTTTAAAAAATAAAATCGTCAAAATACAGATTAAAAAATAAATAATTAGAAAACTCTTGTATCTTCGTCAGCCGTCAGGGCCAAGCGGTCCTATGCATGCTTTAAAATACCTTATACGAGCGGTCCGCTGGCCAGAAAATCATGTTAAACTGTTAAACAAAAAATTGACAGGCGGTCCCTAGGGACCGCCGTGGCCTGGATGGAAAAACTATTAGCGGTCCCCTCCCAAGCAACACGGCTCTGTAGTATATACGTTTATTAAACGTATTGTTCGTATAAAAACCGTATAACATTTCAAAGGTATAAATAATATACGTTTTTCATATTACTTTTTTATATGAAACGTATAATATACGGATATTATAGGACTTTAACTTCAGTTAACTGATGAATTTATCGTAACATATACGTATATTATAGCAAAAAATATATTACTTTTTTTAACGTATATTAGAAACATATATTATATGTATATAATAATCCATTTTTGACACGAAGTCAAATAAAAGCCTAATTTTTTAATGGTTCTGACTCGAAAAGTATGATAGGTCCTTACAAAACTTGTTTTGTGAATATCGGATAAATTTGAGCTGTAATTAAGAAATTATTAAAAAAACTTAATTTTAAAAACGTATATAACACGTGTTTAAATTTTGTACTTAAATAGTATAAAGTATACCTATTTTCCACAGTACACAATCTGGTATATAAACGGTATACAGTATACGTGTACAAAACCTATATTGAACACTGCAAAATTTTGTCACATGATTAAATTTACCCAATGATGTCGCGTCTTAACAGCTACAGGTTCCGCCCGTGGCGTCATTTTGTAAGAAAAGCCTGTTGTGAAGTGAAAACGCCGGGCTCCAGGCATTGCTAAGTAATTATAATTACCTAGGTAAGTGTGCCTAAATACTTTAAAAAAGATTTGCTGTATTCAATTGTTGTTTTTATACATGGTTTTATTCGATTACAGAAGAAAAAAGAAGGCAAGTACCTATCTTACTACACGTGGATAACAATTTTAAGGGTTAGTTCTTTTTATCTTTTGGAAAAGGAGTTGAGGGTAAGTTTTTAATTTATCTTTTAGAAGCTTTTGTTTAACTTTACATGAATGCATTCATGTAGGTACTTTTATCTTTATATGTTAAAATTTGGCAAGTCAAATAAATTAAAAGATTTTTTAGTGTCAAGTAAAGGTTTCGTATACGTATATACTGTATACTGTATACCGTTTACATACTGCCTGTTAAAAAGGGTGACCTGATGCAGGAAATTTTAGTTTTCTATACTAGAGATTCAAAATTTCCGAAAAATTTGGGTGCTGGAAAATATAAAAACTGTTTTTTTGTTTTTTTTTTAATTAATTATGTTTTTAAAGTGCCAGACCATTAAACTTTTATCTTTTTTATTTATATATTTTTAAAATAAAAAGATATTAAGTTTTAGAATATTAAAAATAATTATAATATTTAAATTTTAAAACAATAAAAATATGATATAAGTAGTAAATAAACAATGATAATTAATTATTATTTTTTACCGTATAATTTTTATTGTTCTAAAATTTAGAATCTTTTTATGTTTTAAATATTTACCCCATTTCAAAATTAAATTACAAACCAATATTAGTTTACAATGTAAACTAATATTTGTTCGTAATATGTCATATCGAAATTGAAAATTTTATTAAGTCTAGGCATAATTTTGTTCATCTCTTTGTTAAGGTAAATTTAGAAAAATATTTTATTAAACGTCTTTGTAATAAACTTTTAAATAATTAATTGTCTTATTAATTTTAAATTTTTAACAAAAAAAGTATATATACTATATAATATATATAAAGTATACTTTCTTTTGTATACAAAAGAAAGTATTCTTTATACATATTATAATATATAATTAAAAAAATTGTCGCAATAAAAATATTTTTATATTTTTTAATTTTTCCCTTTTTCAATTTTTTATTTTTAATATTCTGGAGTTATTTCTAAAATTTCCTTCTGTTTTTTTGTTAATTCATATAGGTACCTATCTTTCTAGGTGGTAGGTATTTCTTAATTAATTTATCATAATTAACATCAATTATTCATAATTATGTCCATTTAGTATAACAACAATAGCTGGAGTTATTAATGGCAAGTACTACCTACTAATTATTTATATTCTTTTTCCATTTTTTAGAAGCTGTAAAATTTTCATATTCAGGAAGAGAACCTCTTGATTTGAACGATTCTGTAATATCCCAAGCGATAAAAGACTGGCTGAAATTAAGCAAACACCGGCATCAGCATAACAGAGAAAAAATGTAAAACCCGTAGATACGTTATTTTTATTATAAGTTATAACTTTGTTTCCTTGTCACATTTGTGCAACAAATTTGTTTATTTAAAGAATATATGTTTTGTTTTTTTGTATACGAGTTATTATTTCAGTACCGGCAAGTAGGAACAAACTTTTTAATTATTTTAGGTCACTTAAGGACTAATACATTTTATAGTTTACACAGGGTGTTTCCTAAACTCTCTGACAAAAAGAAGAAGGTGAATTCTCACTTAATTTTAAGACGAAAATGTATATTTCGAATAAAATTAGGTGAGAATTTACCTTCTTTTTTTTTGTCTCAAAGGTTACGAAAAAGAAAAATAACCCTTTCATTATACGTATAAATGAATAAGGAAAAATAACATTTAATACACGTATTTGGTATACGTATAAATTTATATAATAAATAACATTTAATAAACGTATTTGGAATACGTGTAAAACCTGTAAATGTAAACTGCTAATATACGTTTACCATTTCATAAAAAAAATCATATATGTAAATACGTTAATGAAATTAATAAAGAAATCTGTATATATACGTTGAAGTCGCGGACATTTTGCAGTTTATAATACGTTTCAAATATACGACGAAGTGACGGATGGTAGTAGATCGTTTTAAACGTTTAATATACCATTCTGTGTTGCTTGGGCTGGGACCGCCGTGGCCGTTAACGTGTTAAGTTCGGGCTCCTTGTGTAGGCTCCATGGGTCCCGGGTTCGATACTTTTTCGAACTTTTTTTATTTTTTTATTTCATAAATTTGTTGTTTCTGTGTTGTTGAGTTTGGGTTGGTTTGGGTTTATGACGTAATATATAATTTGGCGGTGCAGAATAATACACCGCACGCGGTGCACTAGCAACAGCGAATGCTAAATGCCACTGGTGGCTCTACTTACAGCGCAGTCTAACGTGCCGCGATTCGAAATGTTAAAGGCACGTTAGTTACATAAAACCAAACCAACCCAAACTCAACAAGACAACCCAACCGACCCCGCCCCATTGGGCCCCCCCGCCCCATAGACCTATCCCATAAAACAGACTTTTGGATAGCGCGTGCCTGAAGAAGAGTGGTATCTCTTTCTCTTTTATATAATTAAAAAAAGACGACGTGCCTTTTCACGCACGCGCTATCCAAAAGTCCGTTTTATGGAATAGGTCTATTGAGCAAAAAACCCAACTAAAATGGGCAAATTTATGTTACGATAAAAATAAAACACTTTTTAACAAAGGAACAACAAATTTATGAAATAAAAAAAGTTTGACAACTTCTAGTAGATTTTATGTTACGATAAAACTAAAACAAACCAACCAACCCAACCCAACTGAACACTGTTTAACAAAGAAACAACAAATTTATGAAATAAAAAAATAAAAAAAGTTCGACAGCTTCTTAAGC